TTATTATCTCTAGTAATTCGTATTAACATTAGAAATTAGGCAATATAAAAAATACAATTTTAGATAAGCATCAAATGCAGTAAATATATTTATCTTATTCCGTCATTACAAAAATTATTATTCAAATAATTTACAAATAAATAACAATTTATTTTCTTATTAACTTAATTGTCAAATTTATTTAAAAAATTTAATAAATATTTAAATTTTATTTGATAAATATTTAAATTTTATATGTTCTTAAAAAAATGTTTGCTCATTTTTATCCCAATCAGTAAAACTAATATTTTTTTATCTACCAAAGTCTCTAATAATAGTTCAAACTAAATTTAATTTAAAAGCATTTCAATAGTATAAAGCTAATAATTTTTCTTTATTGAGACATTCTGTCTTTGTATGGAATACTGTTGCCATATCTAGGGCGGATCTTCTGATGATGCCCTTTCTCTTTTAGACAAGGCGCAAAAACGCATTGTTAACATAGTTGGACCTGCTTTTGCTGCCAATATCCAACCTTTTTTGGATTTTTTCCTTAAACTTCCCTCAAAATTCCCTGGTAGTATAACGCTAACATAATGCTTACATTTTAATCATGCATTTTATTTTAAAGGGCATTAGTAATTTTAAAAATATCATGTGTCAAAATAAATTCATTTTATTTAAACTTTATTAACTTATTGAGTTAAAATATTATGCAGTGCAGTGTTTAATAAATTCCTTTGGAGTCCTTTTTTCATTTTTTTTATAGTATATCTGATAATATTAATACGCTAATTTGATATTATTAGTCGAATTACGTCATTTTCTATTTTAAAGTAGTTTCTAAGCTTTTCTATATGCGGTTTTTTTTTAATTTTATTTACTAACAACGCGTATTACGGGTTGCTTACTGCTAGTTTTTATTAATTAACTAATTGCATATACTTAAGTACAAATAGTTCTAATTATATAATAAAAAAAGTTATACATAAAGTATACACAAACATTACAAAGACAATTTCATACAGAGACATAATATACTTTTTACATTAAAATTATTTTATTGTTTATAAAATATATTTTATAAAATATATTTTATAAACAGGTAGCAACTTATACTTTTTCTTTCCTCTATGAGAAACAAATAAAGAGAGGATAGGAAAATCGTTTTTTTTTAATGTCAACTTGAAACGTTTTTTTTTTTTTGCTTTGTCTTTTCCAATTTTGTTGCTGAAAAAAAACAACCACTAAAAAGAAACAAAAATAAAAATAGTACACAAGTTAAATAAGTTATTATTATTATCTTTTTTTTTTTATATATATATAAGTTCTGGCTTAATAGTATTTTTTTTCTTTGTTTTTAAAACATAGTTTTTCGGTGGCGGGTCATTAAAGCAAAAAGCAACTATTTCCTTTATTCTTTTTTTCAACAAAACAGCAGGTTTTTATCATTGTTTTAAATGTTGCATAAAATTAACTTTTTAACAATAATTTAAATTTTTTGTTATTAATATTCCTATTTTAAGTATACTAAAATATACATTAAATTAGTGTGTTTTTTTTAAATTTTTTACCAAATAGTTAATAACACAATGGAAACCAGTAACTTTTTGGCTTTGATGTTTTTTGCTTCAACAACCCTAAACTGTTTTTTCCATAGTGCTTAATATACAAAATCTTGCTAACAGCCATGACCAAGTTGTCTAAAATAGAATATTCTTAAGTGGACATGTGGACATAAGATAAAAAACCATATATATATATACATATATATATATATATATATATATATATATATATATATATATATATATATATATATATATATATATATATATATATATATATATATATATATATATATATATATATATATATATATATATATATATATATATATATATATATCAAGGGTTGAATTAACGCATCGCGATTTGCGATATCTGTTAAATTATCTGGTCTTCAAAGTTTTAGTTTATGGAACACCACGAAATTTACGGAATAGGCGAATAAACTTTAATTTGTTAGTGAAAATGTTATGAAAAACAAAACAATAAATTTATGACTACAAAAGTAATAATACTACAGTGTTGTTACTTTTATAACACTCTTTTATGTTGCATTTATAGTCTATTGTTTGATCAAACAACACATAATCAAGATATTATAAATAAAAATGATTTAATTAAGTAATTCCAAACTTTAATTAAAGTAGTAATGCATCTTGAAAAAATACAATGGATATTTAAACAATGTTAAAAACCTTAGCAACTTTTACGAATACATATTTTTATAAACAGTTTAGCATTTCTA